TGAGGCTGCCTCTCCGGGGGTGAGGTGGTGTGAAGCTGCTTGGCTGCAGCATAAGGTGCTCTGTTGTCATGTCTTTGGGGTGTATTTTCATTTACATTTTACATATGTTTTTACAAGTTTTTTTACAGTAACAAGTATAAGCAGTTTTGAAGCAAGAGCTTCACAACATCTTCAAAAAAGCAAGAACCTAATCAAACTATTCAATAACCAAATTTCCCCACAAATACCTGTTTTTTTGACATTGTGGGACCATTTTTTCAGTTCCCACAAAGGGAAATTCAGTTTTATAAAGATCTGTGCGTGCGTGCATGGGTGCTCGCTCCGTCCTGCCCTTATCATAAGGCAGGTTTGTTGTGAAAAAGGAGCGGCCCCACCCCCCCAGCCCCTGGGAGTCACCCGGTTGCCATGACGACCAGTCCTGTGCTCTTTGCCTCACACTTCAGAGTTAACCCCATTTGACAGTCGGGCACCAGTTTAGATCAGTGTGTGCTGGAGGTGTGGAGAGTATGTTTGAGTGTTCTGCCATGGGGGTAGGGATCGTTTGGGATTGTCCTCCATCCCATCACCAGGTAAAAGCACTCATGCAGGGGTGTTGGGTGGTGTGTTCCCCTCCCCTGTTCTTGACAAGCCTGTCCCTCTGCCACCATCTTTGTCTCTCTGATGCTACCTGTAAGGTTGAGTACGAGCTATAAGCACGTGGCATGTGCGCTACAGAGGCCTCAGAAGCATCTGCTTCTCTGTCTGCCTGCCTTTCTGTCTGGGTGTCTCTCTGTTTGTGTCTCTGCGTCTATCTCTGTCTGTCTGTCTGTACTGTGTCTCTCTTTATGTCTCTGTCTGCCTGCCTTTCTGTCTGGGTGTCTCTCTGTTTGTGTCATTGTGTCTCTGTCTGTACTGTCTCTCTTTATGTCTCTGTCTGCCTGCCTTTCTGTCTGGGTGTCTCTCTGTTTGTGTCTCTGCGTCTATCTCTGTCTGTCTGTCTGTACTGTATCTCTCTTTATGTCTCTGTCTCTGTCTGCCTTCCTTTCTGTCTGGGTGTCTCCCTGTTTGTGTCACTGTGTCTCTCTGTCTGTCTGTCTGTCTGTACTGTGTCTCTCTTTATGTCTCTGTCTGCCTGCCTTTCTGTCTGGGTGTCTCTCTGTTTGTGTCTATCTCTGTCTCACTCTGCCTTCTTTTTGCTTTCTGTCTGCATGTAAATCTTCATTCTCCCATTATAAATAGCCTCTGTGTTTCACACTGTGTTTCATACTGTTTCTTGCCAGCATTCCTGTAATCGGTAACCCCGCCCCTTCACTCCCTGGGTTCCCCAGAGACCGCACCAATACGCTAGGGAGCAGTGAGATACATGTTAATGAAAAGGTCTTTAGGTCCTCAGTGGAATTTTTCATTGTTTGGGAGGAGGGGGGCTTGCGAGGGCAGGCAGAGTGTCTCTGACAGAACAGTGCGGAGAACCTGCTAAGGAGTTGGATGCAAACATGGCAGCAAGTGAGTGTGTCCCCACAGAGACTAATGCTCCCAGTGCTCCTAGTGATCCCAGTAACTGAATATTCCTGCTCCCATTGCTTCCAGTGGCTGAAACTCTGCTCCAGGCTTTGGCTCTCTTTCCCTTCTCTCTGCCCAGTCAGCCATGGCAAGGGCTGGCCACTTGGCGCCATTGGGATGTTAATGAGTGCTGGGAGGGGGAGTGCCCCCCCCCCCCCCCCCCACACACACACTCACTGATCATGCTTCCCTAACCAGTCTTACAGAGTTTACGGTCTTCACTGTGTGTCAGTTTAGTCTATTCGTCTGACCCCCCCCTACTTCGGGTCTGTAATGAAAGCACCAGCTGTCAGCTGTGTTCTGTAACACAGTGTTTGTGTGGCAGGGTGGTTTGGGGGCTCCGAGCTTTCGGTGGGGGCCTTTCCCCCTCCCTATCCCTATGCTTGCTTCCTCACATGTGGTTTTTCTTTTCAGCCTCAGTGATCAGCAAATTTACTCACAAGTACTTTCATTATGTATTTTGACTTCTGTAAATAACGGGAGACTTTGGTCTGATGGCAGCTTTTTGATGTGTCTTCCTCTTGGTTGGGAGTCTGTGCCACCTGTGTTTCATGCACAGTCTCGCTCCGGGTGAGTCAAGCAGGCAGCCTTACTGCAATTGTGGACACCTCAGTCACCCAGGTTGCCTTGGTGCCTCCCTGCCTTTGCTCAATCTGGATAAGGCTGCTCTGTGATCTCATGAAGAAATTTCTATCTTGCTGCTCTGACCTTAGCAGGAGAGCAGAGGTCGGTGTGGGCTGTGTTGGCTGCTCTGGTTTGCAGCAGGTTCAGTTTGAAATGCTGTTAGCGGTGCACAGTGTGACCTACGACCAGAGGTCGGTGTGGGCTGTGGACGCTTTCAGCTCACAGAGAAAAACAGCTTTTCGTTTCCTTGACTTTTGCTTTTCCTGAGCTTCTGAGGCCTGTGCAAACACAGGATGTGGCCTCAGGACTTTGACGCCTGAGCAGACGCCGTGGGGGTGACACAGGGAAGCGCTTGGCAGAGGGTGGGGGATCCAGACAACCACACAGCTGAGGGAGGGCAGGTTGTATATAGTATATAGTGCAGGTAAGATTGCACTGCTGGCAGTGAGATACGGCTGGCTGTATTTAGAGGGTTCTGGTCAGTGTCGCATTTACAGGCAGTGCCGAGTGACAAGATGTGTGTCTCACACTGTGACCCCCAGAGTGTCACTGCACGCGGGAAATACGGCTGCATGGTATCACATTTACTTGAAATATAAAACAAAAAAGGAGGTGAAATTAAATTATAGCCAAACAAATTATTCACAAACCGTCTGTGGAGTATGTTGGTAGTGGTGTTGTGAGTTTTGGCACCGATAGATGTGACGTGATTACAGGGCTTTTGATGAGGCGTATAATGACACTCAAAAGTTAGTAATCTGTGGAAATGCAGTCAATGTTTAATTAACGTGTCAGACTTTACGCCGCAAAAACACCGCCAACGTCTTTTTGCCTTGTGTAACCACAGTATCTCCTCTTTTAAAACGTTATGGCTGTTGAGTTGTCCTTTCTTCCACGGCACTTCAGTGCTTGACGCTTCCATGATTTACCAAAACAGTACTATGTGGTGTCGTCCGCTATTAAAGTGTAACAAGCATGAGGATATGTCGAATTTATACAGATGACCGAGTTCTTGCTGTGTGGCTTCCAACCAATGGCTGCACACTTGGAAACCAGAACATACCAGGCCAGCAGCCTGTGTCCCGGTCCTCGTAAGTGCCACAGCGCACGGTTCTGGCCGTCCTCACCGTGTGAAGCATAAAGGCTCCGCCACTCTGACAGGGCAGTAACTTCTGAGTTGGGCGGGGGGGTGTCACAGACGCCTGACCAAATGGGGGGGGGAGGCATCAAACACTTGCCTTTGCTTTCCTGTTTCCTGTTTTGTTTTAAATGGAATTCAACCCATTCAGTCAGTATGTTTACATGCACAGCTAAGTCGAGCTATGGTTATATGGTTATATGGTTATAGCTCGACTACGCCATTTAATCAGACTACTGTCCCTGTCCCAGTGTACATGCATGGGAGGGGAATCAATTTATTGACCGAAGTATGTCAGACTTCGCTGCAATAGGCAGTGATATGGCTCCTCTCAGCTTGTTAGTATTGGGCTTTGTCTGGTTGACGTATTATGTCACAGACATAAAAAATAGCAAAATTAGTGATAGTGGGTGCGTGGACAAATGAAGTGACACAAGCTTTAACTGCGATCTGCTCGGAAGAACAGATAGAACAAGATCGGGATGCATAACAGAAATATTTGGTGTAATATACTATGACAGCACGGTATTGGAAATGTTTCAAATATTGCAATATGACTGTTGAAATAAATATTGGGGTATTTATGAAACAAAAAAGGAGAACAAATTTCTCACAAACCCGTATAGGGGTGATTTAAACAGCAAGGATGAAAATGATTATGATTGTCTCGGAGAATGCATGCAGCGCTCATGCAAAAGCAGCGCAGGTAAACTTTAAACTGATTTTTAAACAAATACTAGATAATCTTGGAAATGAATAATCAGCAAAATTGCAAACTTTGCTACGTTCTTTTTCCTATGACATACTAAAAATGTTTCAGTGACATAACTTAAACTTCTTGTGCATTATTGTCCGTACCAAACTGAAGGTAAGAGAGAGCCTTAAATCTTAATCTTCCAGACTAGTGATGTAAGTATTGGACATGCTTAACATGCGATGTTGGTATTAATATTGCATGTCGTCTAGTCCTACTACAGTCATTTTTAGAATTCAGTGCAAAATACCCCCCCTCGTGTTGTGATGTCATTCGGCGCTGGTACCAGTTTTTACGCCAGTGGAAAACCAACTCCTTGAAGTACCGTACTTTTGGTACCTTCTTGAAGTATGTACTTAAAAAGTCCGGTTTTAGTCGGACTAACACAATAATTTGATTTTCTTAGTATGCATGTAAACTTACTGAATGGCCTTCCGGAAAAGGTTACGGGCATTTGTGGGTCTTTGCTGTCCTTTGCGGGTCTTCACAGGCCTTTGTGGGGCCTTGGTCGGCCTTCACAGGCCTTTGTGAGCCTTCACGCACCTTGGTTGGCCAACGCGGGTCTTGACTGGCCTTCGTAGGCCTTTGTGGGCTTTTGCGGGTCTTGGCTGGCCTTCATTGGCCTTGGCCAGGCTGGAGAGCCCCCACATGGGGTACAGCTGGGCTTTTCTTGTTTCCTGTGCCCATGGTGCTCTCAGAATATAAGCTGATGGAGGTAATGAGACAATGGCTCACAGTCTTCTGGCCACAGAGCCCAGGGTGTCTGGTGCCCACAAGCGTCACTGGCAGTCGCCTTTCCTCATCAACCATGTGCCGCCCAGCCCCCACCTGTCAGGGGGCCACTGTGCCTTGGGTCAGCTTGCCCAGATGGCCCTGGGTGTTGGGTGAGACCCCCAAATTGAGGGTTTAGCATCTGACCCCCCCCCATATGCTCCCCCTCCCCAGAGATGACACTGCTGTCTGCTCAGCCCCCAAATCCGGAGGGCTCCTCCGCGGCAGCCGTCACCGAAGAACGAGAGCAGAGGCTGCTGGAGAAGAGATCCAAGGTCATCGAGGAGCTCCTGCAGACAGAGAAGGACTACATCAAGGACCTGCAGATGTGTGTGAAGGAGATTTTCGAGCCCTTGCAACAAAAACAGGTGCTGGAGTTTGATTTGGATCAGGAGTGGCACGGGGAGGCCGCTGTCCACCTGTCTGTCAGTCTGCCTGTCTTTGTCTGCCTGTCTCTCTGCCTGCCTGCTTCTCTGACAGTCTGCCTGTCTCGCTGCCTGTCTGTCAGCCTGTTTCTCTGCCAGTCCACCTGTCTGTCAGTCTGCCTGTCTCTCTGTCTGTCTGTCAGCCTGTCTGTCTGTCAGCCTGTTTCTCTGTCAGTCCACCTGTCTGTCAGTCTGCCTGTCTCTGCCTGCCTGCTTCTGTCAGTCCACCTGTCTCTCTGCCTGTCTGTCAGTCCACCTGTCTGTCTCTCTGCCTGTTTGTCAGTCCACCTGTCTGTCAGTCTGCCTGTCTGCTTCTCTGTCAGTCCACCTGTCTGTCAGTCTGCCTGTCTGTCAGTCTGTTTCTCTGTCAGTCTGCCTGTCTCTCTGCCTGCCTGCTTCTCTGTCAGTCCGCCTGTCTGTCTCTGTTTGTCTGTATGTGTGTGCGAATGGGCATTGCTCTTTGACCTTTGAAATAACTTGAAGTAGTGCAGCCTGCTGCTGGCTCTGACCATCCAGTTCTGTGTTATTCCTCTTCACAAAGGTCCTGAATGTGGACTTTGAGGGCCTCTTTGGGAACATCACAGCGGTCATCGAAGTTTCCGAGCATCTGTACAGCAGCCTGCTGGACTCTGACTCCCTAGGTGCGTCTGCTGAGTGGGCCATCCACCCCCAGTGCTGGCTGGATAACCCTCCCCCGTGTGTACGCCTTGCTTACGCTGCCACACACCCCGGGCCATCCACCCCCAGTGCTGGCTGGATAACCCCCCCCCCATGTGTACGCCTTGCTTACGCTGCTACACACCCTGGGTGACACGTCGCTGTAAGCTGCCTGATTGCAGTTGGCTTCCCACCTGATTCGGGGAGCTCTGTTTGCATATGTAAGGCAGGATGGTCACAGGAGAGGTGCCTTTATTCAAGGTGCCCCAGGGACACTTCCTGGAAACCTGGCTCCCTGTGCACTGCAAGCAGGAAATCTGAACTGGGGTAAAACGCTGTACAGATTGAAGTAATGAGGGTAGATTAAATATGGGAGGGTAACAACAACAATAATCATAATAGTAATAAGAATAATGGCCCTGGGTCATTGTCTTCCCTCAGATACAGAGTGCAGTGTGTAGGGATGGATGTCTGGCGGGGGGTGCAGTGATTGATGAACTTGTCCGTGTTTGATGTCGAGCAGGTCAGGTGTTTCTGGATCACAGGGCAGATCTGGAGGAGGTGTACAATGTCTACTGCCAGAACCACGAGGACGCCATCACGCTGCTCGAGAGCTACGAAAAGGACAGCACCATCCAGAGGCACATTCTGGAATGTCTGGAGAAGCTGAGGTACGGGCAGAGTTGCTGGGAGGTGCCACCCCCACACGAAACCTGTTTTTCCACCGCTGGCGCCAACAGACCGAGCAGCTCAGAGCAAATGCCCACTGTTTATCCTCTGCGGGAAACTCCTCCAGCTGATGGCCCCCCCAGCTGTTTAACACAGTGTACAGAGCGCGCTGGCTGTCACATGGCTCAGGAGGTGCAAGGCTGCCAGTATACTTAGGGTTCCAGGCCCATTACATTTCTGCCGCCTTCAGGGTTTAAACACCTGAGCAGGATTACGTGTCTGGAGCATGATTCCGTGTGCAGCTGATGCTCTTTCCCACCTTGGTGATGAATTGGACAGTTGGCCCGGAAATTCCAGGAATGTGGTTCGTTTCGCTCCCATTCAGGCATCAGGAATTCCGGGCAGGTGAGGAATGCACATCGCCCGGTCCAGCCCTCTCCAGCTCCGGTCAGGTCTGTCCGCTCCTCGGCCTTCCCAGTCCGGTTTGATATAAATAAATCAGGCAGCTGTTAATAACAGCCGTATCAAACGGAGGCCGCTGCTCAAGTGCCTCTGAAACATCGCTCTTTTCTGAAGCCTGAGAATCCTGGGCTGGATGAAGTTACCCCGACACTGGCTCCCCCCCCCGCCTGCCCGCCAGGAGGGATTAATGGGCTGGTGTCAGCCTGTGCTATGTTTCGAGCAAGGGCTGGGTGGCTGGTGATGCTGGTGACTAATCCTGCTGGAAATCCCGCCCTCGGTTTTCCACGTCTCTGAAAGTACAACTGGCATTCCCAAGCACGGGCTGAGATGCATTCCCACAGCGGCACCCCCTTCTGTTTTGTTTCGGCAGAGCAGATCAAAACATATGAAAGTGAGAGCAGGCTGCCTGTAGCTCTGTACTCTGTCAGCTGCCGGCTGAGGTCTTTAACTCTGTCCATTTTTCTCCTCACCCTCCCCCACCTCCCTCTCCCCCTGGCCAGGGCGGTGTACCGTGAGTGGTAAGTCCCCCCCAACGCTCCGCTCCGCTCTGCATGCCATTGTGTTCTGGTCCTGTAATTAACAGCGTCCTCCAATCCAGCCCGTCTGCCATTTTTCTTCCTCTTCTATTTCCGTTTATGCATGTTGCATTTGTGCTTGTAACTTTTTTTGAATGACAATCGCGCAATAATAATGTGTCCATGGAAGGCATATAGCGCCACCCAGTGGATGAGTCTAGAAGTACAGCATGATTACATAAATTCCCTGTAAAATCTTGCAGATCAGTAGTACTCACATTAAACTCAGGTAAGAATTCTGTACTAACAAAAATAAAAAATTCACTCTTATTAGTTTTATGTCTGCCATTTCAAACTTTTTAAATTCATACTTGAATAAAACTCTTTGATTTGATTTTTTTCTTTGCTTGGTAAATGAGCGCACTGGAGGCGTCATAGATAAACGCCGAACTTGGGTCCGGGTCATTTTGCTGGCTGCACATGCCAGCACCAGCTTTCAGGAAATGGCAAAGCCTGCCATTTATACACTGAGGTCTTTATGTAGAGCAGTGCTGGTTGGAGGGGTCACTGCAAAGCTGTGGATGGTCCATCACATGGCAGCACCAGCTTTCAGGAAGCGGCAAAGCCTGCCATTTATACACTGAGGTCTTTATGTAGAGCAGTGCTGGTTGGAGGGGTCACTGCAAAGCTGTGGATGGTCCATCACATGGCAGCACCAGCTTTCAGGAAGCGGCAAAGCCTGCCATTTATACACTGAGGTCTTTATGTAGAGCAGTGCTGGTTGGAGGGGTCACTGCAAAGCTGTGGATGGTCCATCACATGGCAGCACCAGCTTTCAGGAAGCGGCAAAGCCTGCCATTTATACACTGAGGTCTTTATGTAGAGCAGTGCTGGTTGGAGGGGTCACTGCAAAGCTGTGGATGGTCCATCACATGGCAGCTCACCTCAGGTGCCCTGAGCAGAGCTCTGAGGACGGTGTTTTGCTCTTCTGCTTGGCAGGCGTTGCCTGTCAGTATTTCAGTTTTGCTTCGCTTGCCTTGCAGTCCTGTTGTCCGTGTGATGAAGGAAGGGGAGTGTCTCCCTTGGGCCTGACTGACAGGCAAACTGGCCAATAACTGTGAGGCATGTGTTGACTGTTGCAGGCCTTTGTCTCTGATTGGCTGCGCCCTGTGTCTGCAGGGGGAAGACCAACTACATCAATCTGGGCTCCTTCCTCATCAAGCCCGTGCAAAGAGTGATGCGCTACCCACTGCTGCTGACAGAGCTGCTGAACGCCACGCCCACGGCACACCATGACCAACAGCAGCTGGCCGAAGCCGTCTCCGCTGTCAAGGAGATTAACGTCAACATCAATGAGTACAAGAGGAGGAAGGACCTGGGTAATGGGGGAGAGGAGTGCCGTTTTCAGGCCTGTTTGCCTGTATCTGCATGAGTTTATGTCTGAATCTGTGGCAGTGACTTGACCTCACTTTGCTCTGGCCCCCTAGTGGTGAAGTACAGGAAGGGCGATGAGGACACTTTGATGGACAAGATATCTAAGCTCAGCATGCACTCCATCATCAAGAAGTCAAACCGTGTCAGCAGTCACCTGAAGCACCTAACTGGCATCTCACTGCAGGTGGGTCCTGCTCTCGGCTGCCCCCTGGTGGGCATGGTGTCATCCCGGAGCTGCTCTGTAGTGTCCGTTCCTTTTGCCTTCCTGTAGATCAAAGATGAGGCGTTTGACGAGGCGGAGAAGCGATTCCGGCTCCAGGAGCGGCTCATCAAGTCCTTCATTCGGGACATCTCACTGTACCTGCAGCACACGCGGGTGGGTCTCATCAGGTCCTTCACCCGGGACATCTCACTGTACCTGCAGCACACGCGGGTGGGTCTCATCAGGTCCTTCACCCGGGACATCTCACTGTACCTGCAGCACACGCGGGTGGGTCTGCCACACATGCCCACCGCTACGCTCTTCGTACTCTCACTGCAGCCCTGAGTGCCGCCTTGGTACAGAAATGCAGAGCGAGAGGGGCAGCTCACTTCTGTTTGCTGGGGATTGCCGCTCTAGTGATGCAGTCGTATTTCCCCACAGGAGGCTGCCTCGGTCAAGGTGCTGGCGGCCATCAGCTTCTGCGACATCTACACAGACGGGAACCTGATGGACCCAGAGCGCTTCCAGGGGGCACATCGTTGCATTAGCGACAAGCATTTTGCGGACTTTGTGAGTGCCGGTGGCCGTCCAGAGTTCTGGTACCATATTTGAAATACGAAATGCAACAAAATGGAACCAATGGCGGACTGGCATTGACCCATAGTCAACTACCAGTACAAACCTGACCCAGAAGGATTTAGGTCACAGGTGTGACAGTGTGCCATGGGGCTTGGAGATGTCTGGTCATGTGTGATTTACATAAATGTGTTTAATGTCGACAATCACTGCTAGATTCAGTGTGCTACTTTATTCCTGGTAGCTGTAGCAGGTGTTGAGCTGTAACAGAGTAACCTCTCCCTCCACGCTCTCCTCTCCCTCCTCTCCTTTTCCTCCCTTTTCTCCTCTTCCTCCCTCCTTTGCCTCCTTGTCCTCCTCTCCCTCCCTGCCGAGCAGAAGGAGCGGGCAGAGACACTGGTGATCGCCCCCCTCACCCAGCTGCTGTCCATGTTTGCCGGCCCCCACAAGCTCATCCAGAAGCGCTTCGACAAGCTGCTGGACTACGACAGCTGCAGGGAGCGAGCAGAGCGGCTGCGGGAGCGCCGGGCGCAGGACGAGCTGCAGGCCACGCGCAACAACTACGAGGCACTGAATGCGCAGCTGCTGGACGAGCTGCCCAAGTTCCAGCAGGCGGCTGAGGAGCTGCTGAAGGGCTGCCTGTGTGCCTTTGCCCAGGCACAGGGCCATTTCATCGTCCAGGCCCTGGGACAGCTGCACCCGCTCTTGCAGGTGAGGATGAGCGGCTGAGCCCCGGGCAACCTGTGCTGCCACACCCTCTGCCCGTCGGTGAATCCGGAACCCTCTGCCTGGAGCATTTGTCCCAGGAATACGATGATGATGATTATTATTATTGTTATATTTATTTTGGTAGTAATAGTATTATAATTTTTTATTCTGAAATTGACTTCAACCAAGATGCCCATGTGTCTCCATTTACCTGGATGATGGATTTGGGAATTTATGCTAAGCGTCCTGGACCCCAAAGCCATTTTGCAGTGACAGTTTCCCTGCAGCCCTGCCCGTGTCAGGCTGTGTCACCCCCATGTTTCCTGGTCTTTGTCCCTCCTCAGATGGCTGGCACGGCGGCTGTGGACAGCAATCTGGTGGCCCTGTTCCAGGCGGAGCACGGGCGTGTCCTTCAGCATCTGCAGGCTTTCAGCTTCTTCCCAGAGAACCTCCCTGCCACTCGCAAGCAGGCCGAGAAGAAGACCTCCGAGCGGCAGGTCCCCAGGAAGCAGCCGGTGAGTCAAACCACCAGGCACCCACCAGCCAATGGAAGGGAGAAGAGGGCGGAGCCCTACAAACCTACTGTGTGACTTGGGCTGCCAGGTTTCCAGTCCTACCAATCTGAAAGGGCTGAGAACAAGTTTGCTGTGTTCAGGATGAAAGAGCTTTTCTGGGTATTATGTGGGGGGCAGCCTTTAGCACCAGAAACAGGTGGTGCAAATCGGGCCCTGACAGAAGTGAGCCACCCCCTTGCTTGCTATATTCTTACAATTGTAGCCTTAGTGCCATAGTTTTACATTTTAGCGTTATTCTGACCCATAGCGCTAATGTTTTTGCATTAGTGTATTTAGCATTACCGTTTTTGCTTTGTCGCTATTATCTTACTTCTGTAGCGTTAATGTTTTAGCAACACAATTTTAAGCATTATCGCTATCCGCTTAAGTCATGACGTTTGAATGACGTGATAATACTGTTTTACGGGGCCAAGCCAATATGCCGCAGGGCTGTGTCTCAGTGTTTTAATGATCTGAAACAAAAAGAAAATAAAGAATTCGTACCACTTTCCCTGCGTCGAGGAAGCGAAGAGGAGGTGGTTGCGTAAACTAAGCAGCCATTTTCAGTTTTTACTTTGGCGTTTTTTCATGTTTAGTACTGGGTTGTAACAAAATTCAGTTTAGCACAAACTTTGGTTTTGGGTTCGCGGTTTAGATACAGCAGGGAAAACGCTGTTTAATTATTATTAAAACCACAAACACAGTTAGGAAAAGTTGTAAACCACAGGCAATGTGATCATTGACGTATCTGAATAAGACGACATACTTATTTGCACATTGTAAAAATATATACAGTATAATTTTAAAAATCGAAAATATAACATCATCATTGCCTATTTGTAGCCGAATTTGCTGAAATGCCAAGGGGAGACGGACCTGCAGGGGCTGTCTGCCTTGCTCCGGTCCGGTCGTACACGCACTCGGATGTCCTCTCCTGTGTTTTCAGCAGCATATTCGGTATAACAGCCGGACAGACCTTGTTTTACCAGTTACCCTCGCTCCAGTGTTGGTGTCATTTATTAGAAAACTAAAATGTTCCCAAACCGCCAAATATGACGGACTGTAACCAGGATTAGCTGTAGCAAACCCACAGCCACGATTAACAGTGTTATATTTTCTTTTTTTTGGGGGGGGGGGGGTTCTGCCCCTGTTAAGAAACGTGTTTATTCATTTCATTGTGTGTACGGAACGGGCACCCCTGCACCGATAATCCCTCCTGGCAGACCAGCGGCACCCTGCATCACCCTGAGGGAGTGTAACCCCCTTTTTATTTGCGTTTTTTCCCGCTCGATTCTAACTTAAATCTGCCCCTCTTTGTCTTTAATTATACGTTACTAAACAAGTTATGCTGAATAATGTAACCGGCTCCTCCCCTGTGGTGTGTTAGGAGTGTTTCACCCTGTAAGCAGTTATGCGCTACGTAAGATGTGTCTTATATCAAACAAGTGGGATTCTACCCAGTGTTGCCAACTTAGCGACTTCGTCGCTATATTTAGCGAGTTTTTAGACCCCTCTAGCGACTCGTTTTCAAAAAAGCGACTAGCGATAAATCTAGCGACTTTTTTTTTAGACTTTCGGAGACTCTGACGTGAAAGCACGTATCGTTCTTACTCTTCTCACCGAGCAGCGGGTGCTGCCGTGGGCTCCTCTCCCGTCCCAAAGCACTCACAGGCGGCCAGTCCCGCCCAGCTGCAGTCAGAGCAGGAGATGTTCACCCCTCCGCGTCCAGACTGCAAATTAATCGCGCATGCGCAAATCCGCCGCTGGCTGATGGTCCGCTGGCTTAATCAAAAATAAGTAACTCCGCCAGTGTGTGTCTTTGGGGTCACTTTTGCCGGTCCCAAGTCCGGGTAAAGGAGGAGGGTTGGAATTGTAATATATAAAAAACAAGAATCGACAGAAGAAAGTTCATTTGTAGTTTTATATGCATTTAGGGTGTATTTTAACCATTTTTTGTCACTCCAAGGACATTATTCCTCTCTCCCACAGCCTCCATTATAATTACATGCATTTTCCATATTATGCAAATGAGGTGATGGCGTTATTTAGCGACTTTTGGGATAGTCAACAGCTACTTTCCTTGCTGAGGAGTTGGCAACAGTGATTCTTCCTACGCTTTAATATTACCAGTTTAGCTTCACTGGTGTGGTTCCTATGCGTAAGCATGACCAGTTTAGCTTCATTGGTGTGGTTCCTATGCGTCAGCATGACCAGTTTAGCTTCATTGCTGTATTCTTCCTACGCTTTAATATTACCAGTTTAGCTTCATTGGATCTGGTGTGGTTCCTATGCGTCAGCATTGCCAGTTTAGCTTCATTGCTGTATTCTTCCTACGCTTTAATATTACCAGTTTAGCTTCATTGGATCTGGTGTGGTTCCTATGCGTC